TATGAATTTATACCTGGCCTGTGCTTCTTTTCATCTAAATGTAAGCAGCTTCTGATGATGTATTATGGCTTATGTATAGGTGTTCCCCCAAAGTCTCATGCAGTCATGGGGTAGCTCCTGGAGTGCCAATGACATGGACATAACTTCCCAAGGATTTAAAATTCACTTTACTGTTCTTGAAAAAGTTTTGTCAAAAATCTGATGCCTTTTGGTAATAACAATCCTAACTTTTTCCCCTTACTGTATATAGATTATTTCTTGTTAGCGAGAGACCTGGGAGTTATGTAAAGAGGGAACAAAGCAAGATAAGGAGTACCACATTTCTAAGAGGAAGGCTCAAATATGCGTTCAAACTGTGAAATTCCTTGAGTTCATCCTGACAGGGGAAACCCGTGCATTTTTGAACTCTAGGACCCAAGCTATTTAAGAGCTAGAAGCCCTGGACCCAAAAGGAGTTACAAGAGTTCCTGGGAATAGTGGGTTTTTGTTGTTTTTAGGTGTCAAGCTTTGCCTCTGTTGCTAAACCCTTGTATAAAATCCTGAAGGGAGGTAATAGCCTCCTGCTTGGATTAGAATTTGAAACAGGGAAAGCATCTGAAGATTAAAGAAGAAACTCTGGTCCTCCCCAGACATTACTGAGCCCTTTCAGCTGTTTGTTCATGAGAAAGAAGGAGTTGCAAGAAGTCTTAACTCAGATCTTAAGGCCATGGAAGCGACCCATGGCCTATCTGTCCAAAGGCTGGACTGTGTGGCTGCTGCGTGGCCACTGTGCTTGCAGGCCGCTGCAGCAGCTGTTGCATTAGTAGAAGGGGCTGACAAATTAACTCTGGGACAGAAGTTGAGTGTGTTCATGCCTCATGCAGTGAGACACTGCTGTGGGGCCCTGGTGAAAGGTGGCTCTCTGCTTCTAGGCTGGCCTAGTACCAGGCAGCCCTCCTTAAAGCCTCACATCTAACTCTTAAGACTATTCAGACCATTAATCCTGTATCCCTCCTTCGAATGTCACTGGAGCTGACAGAGCAAGATTATGTGGAGACCATGAGGGTACTTATTCTATAAGACCTGACCTGCAGGACACACCACTGCAAGACCCCGACCTTGTCCTGTTTGCAGATGGAAGCAGTATGGTAATAGATGGGGTACAGAGGGTGGGAGCAACGGCTGTGACTGGAAAGGACAGTGTGGTTAGAAGCACTGTCCCCGGGGACTTCAGCCCAAAATAAAGAGGCCTCCTAACCTCAGGAGAAAAAGACATCAAAGACTTCCAGCAGATTTTAAACTTGTTATAGGAAGTATGGCGGCCCACTGAAGTGGCAGTGATACACTGTCCTGGACATCAAAAAGGCCGAGACAATAGGGCTGCTAACCTAGTAGCAAAGCAAGTTGCTGTGGGGGTCTCACTGCCAGAAACCCACGTCATGGTAGCACCACTCCTTCAGCCACCCAAGTATTTAGAGATTGAGTTATTGTGGGCCAAGTCAGACGAGACATCAAAAATGGGCAGCAAATTGTTTCAGGGGGAACAGTATTTTTGTCTAAAAACATGGGACATTTTGTGATTCGAAAAATGCATGACAAGACCCATCCAGGAAAGACAGCTATGACCAAGCTGCTTGGCCACTATTTCTGTATCTCCAGACCTTGTACACCTCAGTGGCCAGCAAATGTGTGACTCATGCTAACAATAATCTAGTTTCTTGCCTATAGTGTAAACCAGGCGTATGTTGACAGGGAACCTTCTCTTTTGAGGATGTCAAAGTGGACTTCACTGAGGTCAAGTCAATGGCTGGAAACAAAAGTATTTGTTAGTGTTTATTTGTACCTTCTCAGGATAGGTAGAGATCCTGCCCACCAGAACTGAGACCTCCAGAGAGGTGATAAAAGCACTGATGGAACTAATCATCCCCTAGTCTGGGCTCCCCATTATGGTAGGCTCAGATAGTGGGCCTGCTTTTGTGGGTGGAGTAGTTCAGAGCCTTTCCAGTGTTTTGGGCCTAAATGGAAGCCAGATACTGCCTACTTGATCCCAAAAGCTTGGGCCAGTATAGTGGCAAAACCACACCCTGAGGAGCGCCCTGTCCGAACTGTGCTAAGAGACAGGTGCACACTGGGTGTCTATGCTTCTGATGGCCCTGCTGCTGTCATGCTGCACCCCCATACCGGATGGGCTCACTCCTTTTGAAATCCTATTTGGAAGACTGCCACCCTTGGTGCTGGTATTGAGAAACTGTAAATGACTGAGACACAAGGGATCACTCCCTTTAAATCCCCAAGTTGGGGAAGGAGATCATGACATCAATTTTAATCAGAAACTTGTTAAGTCCTTACAGGCTCTACAGTCTACTCTGCAGGCTACACACTCCATCTACAGCCTCTTCTGCAGCCCACTCACCACTTGTTCCAAAATCACCAGGCTGTTCCTGAGAGACCTGATGACCCACCAGCAGCCCAGCCCGGTGATCAAGTCTACATCAAAAAGAGACGACCTGCCTCTCGGTGCTCACTGGGAAGGACCCTACATTGTCACCCTGAGCATGCCAACAGCCATCAAGGTTGCCGGAAAGAGCCACTGGATCCACCATTTACACATCAAATCTGCAGGACCTGAGACCTCAGATAAGTGGACTTCTGACCCCTTGAAGGTCCAACTCCAAAAATGCAAGCCATAAACTCCTTGTGTTCTGGCTCCCCTTCTGTTTTTGCGTCACTGTATCTGATGCTGCTGGTTATATTTATTTGCCTAGCCCCTATACCTGGACTCTAACTAGCACAACTAGTGGAACCATCCTTGGAGCTTTCACCCCGACTGACCCTGTGACCCTGCCACCTCAAGCCATGCCCTGAGAGCCCACTATTCTGTCCTTTAGAACTGATGTTTAGACTGCTTAATGCCCCCTTCCCAAACATGACTAAGGATTGCTAGCTTTGCTTAAACCCAGAGCCCCCTTACTATACTGGACTGGCAGCAGTCACCACCACAGATAAAGATAACACCACCCAGGTACTCAGTATGTCTCGGGTAACTGACCACTGTTAGTGGGGACAAGGCCCCCAGTCCTTAACGCTAGGGGACCTCCAAGGGTCTGGGTTATGTATCCTCTCCAAGGTTTCCCTTTGAGTTCCTCGCCATATGCTAAAAATTGTAATTCGACTGTATACGTTCATAATATGTCACATTATACCCCGACTGGGAACTTGGTCTGCCTGTACAAATGACCTTACCCCTGCGTGCACCTAAATGTGTTTCCTGGATCTTCTCCTGAGCTGTATGTGTTAACCCATGCTCTGCCACACGTGTACTAGTATTCAGGGGAAGGTGGATATGAACAGCTCTACCTCCCTACTCTAAACAGAGACAAGAGAGCTCCCCCTGTACTAGTCTCCATCCTGCTAGGAATGGAGCTAGCAGGATCAGCAGCCTTGGGCACTTTGGCCCTCGCTGTTTTGTTTTGGGGAGGGGAACTAGGGATTGAACTCAGGCCCTTGCACTTGCCAGGCAAGCCCTTATTATACTGAACGATCTCCCCAGCTAATGTTTTGTTTTGTTTTCTGCCTATATCAATGTCTTTTTTTTTTTTTCCCGGCCCTCATTGTTGGGAACCAAAATGATCAGCTTTTGAGCAAGGAAACATCAAGATTTAGGTACCTTAGAACAAAATGTTAACAGGCTAGAAGAATCTCTAAATTCCCTGGCTGAGACAGTCCTCCAAAACAGGTGAGGCCTAGATCTACTCTTCCTAAAACAAGGGGGACTATACATAACCTTGGATGAAACTTGCTGTTTCTACACTAATCATTCTGGAGTCATTAGAGACAGCCATAGTCAATTAAGGAAACGTCTTGATGATAGAGAAACAGAAAGGTGCTAGCAACAAAATTGGTTCCAAAACTTGTTCTCTGCTTCCCCAAGGCTAACAATGCTACTACCTGCCCTCATAGGACCGCTAGCGCTACTACTGCTAATAATTACTATAGGACCTTGTGTACTTGATTGTTTGATAAAATATATACAAGGCAGGATTCAACTGCCCTCTCAGCATGCCCCGGGGGCGGGGCCAGCATGGCAGGCCAGGGGCTTGAACAGCCAGCCCCTGTGCCTGCTTGCAGGTGCTTTAATCCACTAAGCTGTTTGGCTGGCCCCTCTGAAACAATTATTCTGAACAATTATTTATTTTAGAATTAATTCATCATGCACAAGCATATCTGTATATATAAATGTACATGTATTTGTATGATCATATGTCTCTCCCCAAAACATAATAGTAACTATTTTAAAAATTCAAATAGAGAAAAATACAACTCTAGGATGATCGTTCAGTTGTAATTATTTATGCATGTCATGACGGGTTGTTACTATAACTTCCAAATGAACTTTAATTCCCCAAATCGCTAATTTACTTCCTGATATATAATTATGAGATGCTGCCATTACTCTACGTGGCAGTAATGAAATGAAGTGCCACCAGAAACATACAACCAAACAAAGACTGAGAACGGGAAATCTGCCCCAAGATGCACCCTTGTTCAGTGTTCGGCAGCCACTTCCCGGCGCTACTTGGGTGGCCTGCAATAGGCTGTGAGTCTATTTTAAAGATTCTGTTCTTTCATGTATCTGAAGCAACAGTCACTGATGTGTAACATAGGAAGAAACAAGGTCCTCTGCCTGGAAATGGATCCCAATCTCTAAGGTCCACGTACTAAAGCCTCTTAAAGCAATCTGGAAAATATAAGAGGTCCCTTAAGAACTTCAGGCCTGGAAATGACAGGCACAGAGAATACCCAGCGGCCAAAGGGAGCCTCTTCGTGGAGCCAACAAAAGGATTATCAAAGCAGCTACAGTACTCTTTCCAGAGACAGGAAAGAATCCAGTGGTTATTAAGATACTTTTCAGCATTAAAATTATAGAACTCAATCCCTGGCACAGGACCCCATGCCAAAAAAATCTCGGACTCAAATATAAGCACAAGCAACAGAAACATCTTCAAGTAGAATAGCCAAACCTTTACTGATCTCCACGTTAGGCAGGCTGAAGATGTCAAGGTCCATTGTCCCTCCTTTAGTCCCTTCTGAGCAGTCTAGAAGGACCAGCTTATCTGCAATGCCCTGTACAATACAGTCAGAAAAAGAACAGCATTACACCAGACAGCTACTCAATTTAAATCCATTAAGGAGTGCGGGTTAGCCAAACATGGTAGCACAAGCCTGTAATTCCAACTATTAGGGAGGCTGAGGAAGGAGGATTGTAGGTTTGAGTCCAGCCTGGCCAAACTTACTGAGACTTTGTCCTGGAAGAAAAAAAAAGGCAGGGAGTGAAACTCAGTACCCCCTGGGTTCAATCTCAGTACTGAGGGGAAGGGGAACAGTGAGGCTAACAATCCCTGTGCACCTCCTTAAGAAGAAGTTACACCACAGCAAGAAAGATGATGCACAAGCAAGAAATTCTGAAATCAAATAATGTGACCCTTTAGGTTTGACTATGAAAACCAGACTCTTAAACTTAACTCAGAAGCTAGCAGTGGCTGGTTTCTTTGATGGAATGTGTCACATGGAAGTCTGCTACTGCTCCTGAGCTCACGTTTCCACTTTGATATCATACTTTCCATTCTCAAATAGCTCAGAATGGCTTTGGGGTCCATGTAAGTATCTTATTCCAGGCATGAAAGTTGAAACTAATGCCCAGATTCTTTTTTTAAAGGGGGGGGCATCATAAATCTAGAGTCAAATTCTGTTATCACATGGTGCCCTTTGGAGAACTCATGGAAAATACTCTGCATGCCTACAAATAGCTCCCTGGATAGCATGGTGGACAGACTGTAAGTAATGCTGCAAAGGTGCCAGAGTTTGTAGGTCCTTCCCAAAGCAGTGGGAGACCTGAGCATGCTGGGATAAAAGCATCCAGGGGTCTACCAGACAATGACATGCAGAAAGCACGGCTGCAAAAACAAGCCCCTGCACTGTCATTAGCTGTGTAACACTCAATGGCCTTATTTCATGTGAGAGTAACTGTACAAACACAGAGCTGGCATATGGCAGACCTCTAAATCAGAGCTCTTTACATTCACCACACTGGTAAGGAAACTACAAGCTTCCACTTTTATTTCTCAGACACACAAAGATCTAAATGTTTAATAGTTGTAACTGTGGGAAAACAGGTATTCTCGCACACTGTAAGTGTGAGGAGAAGCTGGCATGACTGATATAGGTGATAATTTATTTCCAATTTAAAACATTTTACAGTCTAAACTTAACAACTCTGGGACTAGGGAGGCAGTTCAGTGGTCTAAGTGTCTGCCTGGCAAGCGCGAGGACCTGAGGTTGATCTTTAGTACGCATGCTGCGCTAGCCCCCCAACCCCAGGAGCACCACGCCAGCCACCAAGACCAGGTGTGGTAGCACAAGCCTATAATCCCAGTGCCAGGGAGGCTGAGACAGGAAGATCACTAGGAGGCTTAGCTGCACAGCGAGACCCTGTACCAAATAAATAAATAAATAAAGATTATAAATAAATAAATAAATAAATATAACAACTTTAAAAAAAAATGTTTTTGGTACAGGATCTTACTATGAAGCTCGGACTTGTAGTAATCCTCCTGTTTTCAGCCTCTCCAGCACTGGGATTACAGGAATACACTACCACGCCTGGACTCAGTGACCAGCCAAATGTGCCCAGGGGCAGGGCCAGCATTACATGTGGTGCCGGGGATGGAACCCCAGTCCCTGTGCTTGCCTAGGCAGGGGCTTTGTCCACTAACCTATCTCACCAGCCCTTAACAACTCCTTTAATCCGTTAATTTCATTTATAAAAATTATCCTGCAAGTTTATGAGTACGTGTGAAAAATAATACAGTATGTATAAGAGTATTCAAAAAGAAACATCTAAAATATTTATCATGAAGCAGGATAATACCGTGGCTCAGTGAAGAGCTGCTCAAGCTTTGCTGCATCAGAGAAGTGTGTGGATCAATAAGGTTTCATTAGAATGCAGATTTATAATAAGATTACGTATTTCGAACAAAATTTTAGGAGATATAAGTTGCTGGTCTCAGAGCCACAGAATGAGCAGTAAGAATCAAGAATACAGGTTCCAGCAAGCAGGTTACCTGCCTGAAATTCTAGCCACACCACTTATTAGCAGTATAACTTTGGCCAAGTTGGGTAACTTCCCAATGTCTTGGCTTCTTCATTTGCAAAGTGGTGCTAACAATGCTGCTTAGGCAATGAGGTTCTTGCTTTTTATTTATTTATTTTTTTTGTGGTACTGGGGATTGAACTCAGGACCCTGTGCTTGCCAGGCAAGCACTTATTCTACTGAGCTATCTCCCTGGTCCCTAATGAGGTTGTTGCAAAATGAGTGAAATGTTTAGACAAGTGCCTGGCACCTAGTTAGCATTTAGTTAGTTACTGTTGCTACTTCCATTACTGCCACTGCCACTCTGGGCCACTATTATCGTTCTGTTAGGTTCAAACTTATAATGCTTTAAAAGAATGGAACCATTTAAAATAATTTTTAAAAGGGATGAGGATGTAGCTCAGTGGTAGCCTCCCTCCCCCGGCCAGGTAGTATTTTAAAAATACTACTAGTCCCTAGTAGTATTAATCTTTTTTAAAAATATTTTTTAATGTAATTGGTACAGGGTCTCACTATGCAGCTCAGACTTGTAGTAATCCTCCAGTTTTCAGCCACCTCCCCCCCATGCTGGGATTACAGGCATACGCCACCATGCCAGGTCTCAGTGACAGGCTTAGCATGCCCGGGAGCAGGGCTGGCAGGGCACGTGGTGCTGGGGCTTGAATCCCAGTTCCTGCGCTTGCCTAAGTAGGCGCTTAGTCTGTTAAGCTATCTTGTTGGCTATCCTAGTAGTATTTAAAAAAAGTAAGATTTCCACCTAATTTATAGCCAAATAATGACAGTGACAGTAATCTAATGGTTACAGAAATATGACTTGAGGTGTCTTCCCATGTATACACACACACATAATTGTGAATAGAATTAACAAAAACTCTGTACTATTGCAGACATCAAAAATCTGTTTGTCTTGAGTTAACTACACACAGTATAATTAGAACATCCAGATAAAACAGCAAGACCACCGAGGTGTCTTGTATGTCCTACAGAATAGTTCAGAAAGCAAAACAGGGCCGGGGAGATGGCTCAGTAGAATAAGTGCTTGCCTGGCAAGCACAAGGCCCTGAGTTCAATTCCCGGTTCCGCAAAAAAAAAAAAAAAAAAAGAAAGCAAAACATGTGCTGTCCATGGAAGTGGTACGTGTGTATGGAACATGTCGCTGTCATGTGTGTAGATTGCCTAAGCTGAGATAACTGAAGTAAAGCTCTTTTATAGAATGTTAAAAAAAATCTGTTTGCCGTCCACATCAGTATTAGAAGCATAAATGGATGAAGGTGGGCAGCTCTTTTATCTCTCTGAAAGTGGTTCTAAACCTTTCTATAAACAATATGTTTAGAGACTTAGAAAAACAAAAAAAAGACTGATAAAAACTAAATTATGAGACTGGGCACGGTGGCACACACCTATAATCCCAGCACTTGGGAGGCTGAAAACAGAAAATCACTATGAGTCTGATCTGTGCAGTGAGACCCTGTAGACCCTGTACGAAATACAATAAAAAATAAAGATAAGTAAATAAATACATTGTTTAAAAAATAAATTATAAACTTACATAAAATATTAGCTCAGAAACTATGACCCAAAAGAAAATAATTAGATAAAGCCATCCTTGTTTTAAAAAAGCTAATTTTTTTTTTTGGGGGGGGCGGGTATTTTAGGGAAGGATCTACAAGGTGTTCAGGGTCTCACCTCTAGATCAGACTTGTAGTGATCTGCCTGTTTACAGCCTCCTAAGAGCTGGGATTACAGGCGTGTGCCACCATGCACAGTCTCAGTTGCAGTCTCAGTGTGCCCCGGAGACAGGGCCGACACAGCAGGCCCAGAGATCGAACCCCTGGACCCTGTGCCTGCTTGCAGGTGCTTTAATCCACTGAGCTATTTGGCTGGCCCAAAAAGCTAATTTTTGAAAGAACTAAAGTTATGTAATACATCAAATAAGTTTAACTAAAGTAGCATGAGTCAGAAAAAAAAAGAATTTGTGACTAAGTCGGATGAACAAGTATTTGAAACTTCCCTTTGATCAGGATGAGTCCTCATTCGAATCACTTGTTCAAAGCCTAGCTGATGCCTAACTACTAATTAAGAGGCAACATTAATGATGACAGCTCTGAGGTTTTTTGCTTATCAATATACTTTAAGACAAAATAAGGGGCCGGGGAGATAGTTCAGTAGAATAAGTACTTGCTTGGCAAACACAGGGTACTGAGTTCAATCCCTGGTACCCACCAAAAAAAAAAGGTTTTCCAGATAACAAAATTAAGCTCCTATTTTCTGGACCTCACACGTGGGCTGCCTAATAGTACAGCCTTATGGCGAAGTTATTTGTAATCAGTAAGCTCACATACCTTTGCTGAAATTGCTAGTGTGCAGGCAATACCCAACTCGCCACTTCCAACTACAGTAATTTTATTGGCTGTTTTGTTCTCATGACTTGTCCAACTTTTTGAGTTTATATCTGAGACACCTAGAAAGAAAAGTGGGTTATTCTAAGAATTTAATTTTCATTTTCTTGCTCTTTTTTTTTTTTTTTTTAATGTATTTAGTACAAGGTCTACAGGTCTCACTACACAGATAAGACTCATAGTGATTTCCCTGCTCCCAAGCACTGGGATTACAGGCACCTGCCACCATGCCCAGGCTCAATCACTGTCTCAGGGTGCCCCGGGGGGCAGGGCAGGCCCAAGGATCAACAACACCCCCCCCCAAGCAGGCACTTTAATCTGCTGAGCTATCTGGCCAGCCCCCTCTGAGAATTTAATAATACCAAAAATCTAGTTAGTATCTTTTCAAAATATAGCAAGTTTTAATAACTCAGAAAACATGGTGGTAATTCATAACAGGCACTTAAAAAATACTTGCTGAAAAAATGCAAGAGACAAGAATCTTATATTAAATTATTCTACTAAATATAGGCTATTATTTTTATTTATTTTAAGGATTCAAT